ATCCACAATTCATACCATTGGTACCAGGTGTTAAAAAAAATCTAAAGGCTTATTGTTTTGGGAAAGTCTGCCTTCAAGGAGCTTTCCAAAGATTTAAGGAGAAATGATGTCAGTTTAAAACTAAGGTGTGCCTGATTCAATTATTGGTCTTTTAAATTACTTACTATACAGTTGAAAGCCGGATATCTAGTAAGGATAATAGACGAATTGATGCCTTTGAGTTGAAGTGTTGGTTAACAGCACAATATATGTCATGGATTGTAATAAACACAAGTATGTCTTAGAGAAAGTGTAACAAGGTTGCTCCTTAGAAACAAGGACAGTGAAACTTTGTCTTACACATTTTGGGAATGTAGAAAGGAGCAGCTACTCTTTGGAAAATGACATCATGCTTAGCATGGTAGAGGCACTGTCTTCAACAAAATGGATTGACACAGTGACTGTAACAATGGGTTCATGTACATCAGAGAAGATGAGGACAGCATAGGACAGGGAAGGGTACAGATTTGTTGCTCATAGGGTCACTCTTGGTTATGGCCATGTCAATGGCACTGAACAACAATAGGTACATAGTGATTTCTTGTGGTTTTGATTTTCACTTCCCTACCCAAATGGCAGCATTGTGAAAGATGGTGAAGATATTGAGATTCTTAACAGCTTAAGTTTTCTTGGCTCCACAATCAACACTCTTGGAACCAGCAGTCAGGAAATTAAAAGACAAATCGCATTGGGAAAGTCTGCTGTCAGAGATCTCTCCAAAGTCCTGAAGAGCAACGATGTCAGTCTGGAGACTAAGGTGCACCTGATCCAGGCCATAGTCTTTGCAATTACTTGTTATGCATCAGAGAGCTGTACAATGACTAGGGATGCTAGAAGGAGAATTAATGTCTTTGAACTTTAGTGCTGGGGAAGAGTATTGAATATACAGCTAGGAGAACAAACAGATTCATCTTAAAAAGGGTGAGACCAAGCTGCTCCTTGGAGGCAAGGATTCTGAAGCTTCGTCTGACATATTTTAGACATGTTTCAAGGCGAGACCAGTCCTTGGAGAGGGACATCATGCTTGGGAGGGTGGAGGGACAGCGCAATAGAGGAAGAGCCTCATTGAGATGGATTGAGTCAGTGAGTGGGGTAATGGGGGTGGATGTATCAGAGAAAATTAGGTTGGCACAGGATAGAGCAGGGTTAAGGCTGTTGTACACAGGGTTTCTACGAATCGTAGGCAACTTGACGGCACATAAAAACAACAACAACAACAACAAAAACAACAACAATGGTTAATGAAGAAGCTCTAGTGGCCTGGGGGGTAAGAGTTGCATTGCCAACCAAAGGCACATGGTTCAAATCCACCAAGTGCTCTGTGAGAGAAAGATGGGCAATTTCCTCCCATACGATA